AGGGCTTGGAGACGGTGGAGGAGAATGGTGGTGAAACGATGGAAGAGGTTTGTTTGCATACCATCTACATGTCTTGTTACTCTATCATTCATAGTTTAGGGTAAGTCCCATTTTCACCCTTGTGGTTTGATGACATGTATTTATTTGATCCAATTTATCTACTTCTAACATATGTTGGTCAGTGACCACTATTTAATGATCAATGATCTTTTTTTAGTTTGAATTTCAATGACCATATTGTGTCGTCACTACATACCGTTTAGTTGGGTTTAAATAACGAATTTTTTTTAATGACCACTATTTTTTGTCACTAAGTCTCTAATGCAGTGACCATTTTTTTTTGTCATTAAAGCATCCAATAGAACAACCATTATTTTTAGTCATTAAGAGCAAAGGGTCGTTGGCCTAGCGGTAAGGAGTAGCTTTTTCAAATGAGAGATCATGTGTTCAAGTCTTACTAGGAGACTTGGTGGTGTTTAAAATTAGATTGAGAGTAGAATAGTTTGCCGTTTAAAAAAAAATAAAAAAAAAATAAACTAGTTATGATATTAAGTAAAGATTGATTTTATTTTACGGTTAATGACCAGTGATGAAAATTATAGAACTGATCACTAAGCTTATAGCATTACCAAAATTAAGCAACGACTTAATATAAGGTCACTAAATGATGATGTTAGTGACAGATTTCAGGTGGTCACTAAAAAATTAATCACTAAAAAGGATTTTTTTTGTAGTGGTGGTTGATTTTGGTAGCAAACATGTGGATTCATAATATACAAAGATTTGATCAGTTTTCTTTTGTATGTCGTGTTAACATGATTTTAGGTTACACAATTGAAGGTAATTCAACCATATCAATTGGTTTTTTTGATGACATATGCGTTGCAACTTATGTCACTTGTATACTTTTAATAATATAGCCATAAAAACTTATATCTATGAATATTGCTATTGGGATGGATTTGAACGGGTTATAAGACTAAGCTTATTGGTGACCATGTCACAAATAAAACAAAAAGAAAAGTGAAAGAACATGAAAAGTAGAGCTTTGTATTATCTAATCAAATTTAAATCGGTTCAAATCCGATTAAAACAAACGGACCAACATTGAATATTCAATTGTAGTTAGATTGGATCGATTCTAAATGTTTAATACACAAAAATGGATTTGTTGTTTTATTAGACTTTTGATGGTATCTCTCAAGATCAAATTAAAGCCAAATACATCCAATCAAGTTATAATTGAACTAAATTCATCCAATTAACACTCAATTTGATCACTGCACTAAAGTGAGTGGAGAAAAATGAACTAGTTTTCACAATGAAAAAATTGTAAGATGTTTCGAGAGAAATGGGATAAAAAGCAAACAAACGTGTTTTGAAATGACCAAATTGGAGGAAAACATGTACGTAACACATAAATGTGACCATAAAGGAATAAAAATATACTTTGCTAGTATAATTTTCATAGAAGTCTTGTCATAAATTGCATCACATGTGTATGACTGCTCATATGATTAGTAAATCTTGAGTATTGCATGATTAGATCTTATATTACTTTTACATCCAAAAAATGATTTGCTTGGTACGACTATTGATCAATGTTTGTCACAACATAGACTTTATGAGGACGTTTACCATTACTCTAGATAAAATAACGTCTTGTTTCAATATTTCAAGAATATTGTTAACCAATGGGGTGGCATGATTATGAGTGGTGAACACGCACGAGCTTCACATGTTTGAAGTTAATTGTTTTTTTTTTTTTTTTTTTTTTTTTTTTTGAAAATGAAAAAAAGTGTATAAGGTGGGTTGGATGAGTAAAATGAAATTACAAACCCAATTAAAAAACATAAATGTATTGAGCTAAGAAAAATGTTTCTTTAATTGTAACTTATTGAAAATGTACTTTTTGATGTTGAATGCAACTAAAAAGTCTGAAAAGACATTTGTAAGGTCATCCGTCACCAACCACTACAGTGGTGAGTGTCACCTCATCACCACATCCAACCATTAAACCTATGAGATACCTACCATTATATACCTCTTATATTAACTAATATATATATATATATATATATATATATATATATATATATATATATATATATATATATATATATATATTGTAGAGAGAGGTAGAAAAAGTTAGGGAGAGATAAAGAGAGAAAGAATTTGATTGGAGGTGGTGATCCGTTGTATGGAAAACAATTCACCACGACCACTAAGAACCGAGATGGTGTGCACTAACCACAGTCGTGGCCACCTAGACCACGACCCATTTCATGGTATGTATATCGGACAGTCTAAGGGAGAGCAACACAACATAATATTAGGCTAAGACTGAAAGGAGTCCACTCGCTATGCACAATCGCTAACACTCACCAAGCGTATTGAACGCCGCCCCTAGCACTCGCTAGGGGGCTGGGTACCATTAACTTGTCGTTTCTTTGGCGAAAAGAGAGAGGGAGCAGGGAACAATTTTGATTGGTTGAAAATTGAAATGGGTTTGGCAGGATCACATCTTTATATTTTGCATGTATTTGGACTCTGGTGAATTTATCTGACTAAACTTACATGAATGCTTTGTTGACTCCATAGTCCATAAATTAATTGTTGCATAAATATTTCAACAACTTAACTTTGATTTTAAAAAAACGTTTGTAATAAAAAAATATTCAACTACCATTCAACTAATATAAATTAAACCACATTCTCATCAATTTAAACACACAAAATACCATATCACTTTCACAAACTCTCTCAATTCAAGAAAAAATGTCTTCATCTCACCCAAACAAAACCCCAAGATACAAGAAAAAGAAATCTTCAGACCTTCCATCACTAAACCTTCCATCTCCAAACACTCAATCACCAAACCTTCCATCACCACCATGTTATCGACCATCATTTGATCAACCAATTCACTCCGCCGCTAGCTTCTACTATCATATAATGGGTCCGCAAATGTTTCCATTTAATCTGTACTCTTCTCAACCATTGAGATTTTACCACAATCAATCTCAACCAACACCTCGTTCTAATGTGGATCTTGATCCGTTTGAAACGGACTACAAACTAACTTTTAATCCCAACCACTCCGCCTACTCGACGAGTCAACCAATTCTTCCGATGAAGGCCCCGTTGAAGATCCCGCTCAATAATCATTTCAAGAGCCGGAAGTCCAACCACAAGCACAAAAAAAGGAAAATGGAGGGCTCAATGTCAAGAGTGGACGGATGATGAAGAGATGGAACTAGCTTAATCATGGCTAGATGTGTCTATAACATCCGTGTTTTTGGGCTTGCCATTTTTAGCAATGTAATAGTCTAGGTTAACCTTTGTAACCTAATTTGAAATAATAAGAATGTATTATTTACGAATTATATGTTTTATACTTATCTGCTTATTTATGTGATTTAATTTAATCAAGAATAAAAATAAGTGTAAAAATGAAATGTTATATAAACCCGATATTGATGCACGAAGATGTAGTGGTTGAGAGGAGGTTTTCGAAAATATAAAGAATGCTGAAATCCGAGTTATAATGAAGAAGTTATGACCTGTCGAAGTTTCGCGACAAAACCAGTGTGACACAGCCTGACGTAAATAGTGAATTTACGAAGGAGTAATATTTAGCCTTAGTGATCAACACAAAAGACGTAGATAATGTTGAACTGAGAGAGTGCATAAAAAGAACGCTTAAATTTGACTTCGTATGAGGAAGTTATGATTTTTTGAAGTTTCAGCTTAGTAGTAGACAACCCAAAAGTTCGAATTGAGATCGAGCGAGTTTTAGCCGAAACTTTCTAAATGAGAATTGAAGATCTCGTCGATGGCAGTGCAACGACAGAAAGAGGGACGAAAACGGACGTCACACGAAGAAGTTATGAATTTCTAACGAAGTTTTTCCGTCCCGACGTACTAAAAATAAATAATAAAAAATAAGGCCAATGGAGTCTAAATGAAAGTTGTAGAGCATAATCTCACTGCGTGGATATAAAGAACGTCGAAAACGGAGCTCGTATGCGAAAGTTATGAATTTTTGAAGATCGTGGCACACATACCAAAGCTTATCCGAAGAGTACGCCCAGCGTAACCAAGATTACGCCCAACGTACTTGGAGTTACGCCCAGCGTAATCCCAGACCTAGCAGCCTATAAATAGAAACCGAGATCAATCATTTGCCTTGCCATTTTTCTTTCTTTCTCTCTAGTTTTTGCTTTGGTTTGCGTGCCAATTATATCCCGAAGCCCCGGTATCATTCCCGAGTCCCGAAGCAAGTTTCGAAGTCCCAAAGATCCTAAGAATTAAGATTCCCGAGCCGAAGCTCTACCCACAAGGAGCCCGGTTTTTGTGAAGATCTTCCAGATTTACCGAAGAATACCACTTCTACAAGTTGTAGTGTTGTCCGATCATCTTCTGATCAAGTGAGTGTGTAGTTACTTTCTTCTAACACATAACTATGAAGTATTTTATATAAAATACGTTTTATGTGTATATTTTGTTATTGTATGTGTGAACGTATATTCGCCTTCTTCTATCTCATAGATATGACTTGTTTACTATGAAATACGTGTTATGTGTATGTGTCTCATCTGTTGTTTGGAATATGTATTGAATGAAAATGCTATACAGGTTTTAAACTATGTATAAAGAAATATATATTTTTATCTACTAATATGTTGGGTAGAACATGGGTAGATAGTCGATGTGTGATAAACAGATGAGAGGCCTCGATGTCGTTGTTGTTGATCTAGTTATTCAGTGGAGTATGGATAACGACCATAAACTCTTTCTAGACAACGACCATAAACTCTTTCTAGACAGTCATGTGGAACGCTACTCAATCCCTCTAGTCCAAGCCTTTGATCTAATTAGTAAACACCTAGTAGGTGGCTTTTTAAGGGAGTATAAAGTTCCTCTTTCTTCCAATGTGGGACAAGTCCCATAGAGAGAGTTTTCCATTTAACAAAGTTCCAACATATATCACTCTTTCAATGATTTTCTTAATGGTTAAGGCTGGACGGAGCCGAGCGCATGATGAGTCGTGGGAAGCTTCCCGCTCCGATGAACATCCCATTGGCGGTGCGGGAAAGGTGGCGCGGGGAGGAGGTTGGGGGTGGTGGTCTGAGTTTGATGCTTCAACTAAGGGTGGGATTAGGACAAACACAAAAGAGAGAATGAAACTGACTTAATTGATTAATATATTCAATGCAGTTCGTTTTTTTTTTTTTGGGTTTTTATAACTAAAAACCGCATCGTACATAAAGTTTGTTGTTTTTGAAAAAACAAAAACCTCACTATCGTTTTTTGTTGCAATTTCGATTTTGATTTTTGGGTTCGATTATTTGCTTAGGTAGTAATATGGAAAATGATAATTTAAGACAAATAAATTAAAAAACAATATACAATAACATAACAAATAACTTTATCGGACGCATACATTAACATCTATAGGGTGTTTGGATAGGTAAAAAAAAAGGGAGCTTATAGCTTATTGCTTATCCTTACCACTATAAGCTAAGTTGAAGTGTTTCGATAGAAAACAGTAAAAATCAGTTTATTGCGGTGGGGATAAACTAAATAAGCTAATTTTAATAAGCATTTCCCCCATTGATTATAATTTATTACTTATTTCTAATTCAAACACCTTGCAAAAACTCACAACTAATAAGCTAATAAGTAATAATAAGCAATAAGCTAGTAATTGTTATAACCTAATTTATCCAAACACCCTCTAATTATGTTTATAAATTTCATAAGAGTGTTTATCAACCCTAATTAAAAACCAAAATATATATAATTCAAACATTAAAATATTATTGAGTTATAGTTTTTGACTAACGCTATCTACATCTAATATAAATCATTAAACTAAAAGTAAAATTTCATAATATCATTTCATTTCCATCTAAACACGATATCAAAAACCTATTATATAAAAATGATATAAGATTTTGACAGTAATGAATCAAAGGAAACCTATTTATATATAGAGTACTTTTTGAGTGGATATGGTCAAAGATCGGAAAACCAAATTTGAAAGGTTTAATTTATAGTTAACTAATTTAGCAAGGACTAGAACTGCAACTTCCCAACAAATCACCGCTAACAGAGATTCTTATCGGAAAACAGTCGGAAAACTCGGAATTGATATCCTTCAATTCCTCAATATTTTCGTCTTTGTGTGTGTTGGTTGTTTGTCGTTTGCTCGCGGAGGAAGACGAATGTATCTTTGTAAAAATGAAATGGCGTCGACGACTACGGCGGCGAGGAAACATGTGGAGAAGATACGGAAGACGAAGTTCTCCATCGGCGGAAAATCAAACCCTTTAACGGAGGATCTTCATCAGGCTGTTAAGAATCTGTCTGCCGAACTTTACGCTAAGGATGTTCATTTCCTAATGGAACTAATCCAGGTATTTAGTATAGCATCTCTCAGTTTTGTTGTATTTAATTTAATTTTTTTTTTTTCCTGTTAATCGTTAAAGTAGAATATGGTGTTCATACTTATGGATGCTTTCACTACGCATTTGATGTTTCTGGTTTGATATTTCTGCATGTAAACATTTAGAGTCGTTAATCGGTCGTTGCTTCTTGTTTTTTGAACTTGATCCCTGTGGTCCACCTGAGTTACTTAAAGATCTTTGAAACGTTTTGTAATATATTTTAACAGTTATAACTTGATTTCTAGTTTTTGAAATATAAAAGGGAGTTATTAAATTCTGTGAAAATGCTAATAGCAACAGAGTTTCTATTTTTGTCTTGTTATAGCATTGTATTTTTATTTTTAGTATGAGTTAATGCTATAAAACACATTATTATTTATATGTCATTATTCTAGTTTAGCCTATTGGTGGATCCATAACAAAATATATGAAGTAGCATACATAATTTTAGGGGTAGCGCATTGGGTCGGCCACTGGTTTAGCCATGACGATTATTTTTGTTCCTATTTGATATTATTTTGAGAATCTTTTCATTTTTTACCCTTTGGCCAGTTATAGTAGGTTAGATGTGACATGTTAGGGTTAATGTTATGAAAGCCATTATTTATTCGTCCTTATTCGGTTTTAACCTTGTTCTTTATTTGCCATTATTTTTTGAAAAACTTTTCATAAAATCCATATCTTTCTATATTCATTTTTATGTTAATGTGGCATGTTACTAGGTTTATGCAATGCAACTTAATAAAAATTAAATATCATAATTTTATAAAATTAATGTTTTTGGCACATATCTTATAAATGTGTAACATTTTTCAGGTTGTATCCAAATGTATATGATTGTTATATCAACAACCAAAAAGCACAAGTGCTCACATGGCATACAAAAAAACATCATGTTGCTTATAATTTACAAACTTATGATCGATACTTTTATCTTCAAATGTGGAATTTAAAAACAGGTGAAACTAGAGAATTACAAACATATGAAAAGTTTTTATTAAAAATAATGGCAAATAGAGAGCAACAAAGAGCTGGTTGCAGCTAAATAGAATAGTAACAAATAAATAATGGCTTTTATGATATTAACCCAACATGCCACGTCAGCCAAACCGACATGTCAGTTGGTAACCGGCCGAAGGATAAAAAACGAAAAGTTTTTTAAAAATAATGGTAAATAGGAACTAAAATAAAAGTTCGGACTAAAATAGAATAATGATGTATAAATAATGGTGTTTATGACATTAACCCTTTTTCTATTGCACTTTCAAATTATTTTTTATGGGATTGTACTTCAATAAATTTTACTGGCATTAACAACAAGTAACCTCCTGATTAATGTAAACAAGTTTTATGCAATTTTTTTGTCCACATAAATGGCCCACATGTTATTTACTGCTGACATGGCAATAAAGAAATTCATATTTTCTTAATGAAGAATTGTTCACATCATGATTTTTTTTATATAAGATTGTTCTTTAATTGTATATAGCATCAAACTTGCATATTTATGCAAGTATACATGTTGAATTACAAAAATATAACAAAAACTAAGCATTAGTATTTAGTGGAGTGGATGTAATGATGACAACGGATATTAGGTGATTCTACCTTGAATAAGTCCCCAAAAATGTTGCAGTTCTAATCGGAGGTCGAGTTACTAATTTTACTATGACTACTGCTACAAACTAATGTATTGCCATGAATGTAGGTCAATTTCCTTTTTCTTAGCCATAGCTTGTATCGAACACCTAAAAAGCACTAAATCTCTGGAACTTACTTAAGATTCTATTTCTACTATAAAGCATAGAACTTCAATAGAAAACAAGTGAAGTATCAACTACCACGGTTTCTGGTGAGACAATATATAACATATGAAACAGAAGCTCACAACATTGTTGTTGTCTCATAACCAAATAAACTACGTATACATGACTTCTATGATTAGTATCATGTGTATGATTATTTTACAATTCAATACTAAATGATTAGTATCATGTGTATGATTATTTTACAATTCAACATTGTTGTTGTCTCATAACCAAATAAACTACGTATACATGACTTCTATGATTAGTAAGCAAGAACATCATATTTTCCTTGGCATCGTAACTTTCCATGTCAGCGAAAAGAAATAAATAGATAAAAAGATACAACATGCATGTAGCAGGTTACCTATTGTCCTATTGCTAGAATGGGTAATTTTTCTGAAGTAAAAGGCCCTAATAAGGAATAATTTGTCACTATAATGGTGTGATAAGTAAAAATAAATTTATAACATTTTAATAGAAAGTACATTCCTATTTCTTGCATTTAACTATATATATATACATGTTGTTTCACAGAATGCGGAGGATAACGAGTATCCGAAAGAGGTTGATCCTTCCTTGGAGTTTGTGATTACCTCAAAAGACATAACAAACACAGGAGCTCCAGCGACACTTTTAATTTTTAACAACGAAAAAGGGTTTTTATCAAAGAATATCGATTCAATTTGTAGTGTTGGACGTTCTACTAAGAAAGGCCTCCGTAAGTGTGGTTATATAGGAGAGAAAGGTACTTCTAATTCTTATGTCTATCTTATTCTTTTATAGCCGACTTTGTTTTCCTGTTATCAGTTATCTCCAGCTTATCAAAAATCAAGACTCTTTATCATCATCATCTTCATTTTTGGTTTTGCAACATATTGATATATTGTTGCTTTAGAAACAGATTTTGCTCATATTTTTGTTGTAATGGAAGAAAATATTGGACGAACTTCTTATTTTTTGGATGAACTTCCATCTAGGTACCTTAAACTTTAATTTCTTGTAGAGGTATTAGCACTGAAGTTTCATTTTTGTTCCTTTTATGTGAAAAAAGTTAAAATGTAATTTGTTACTTAGTTTACTATTGACTTCATGATGATGATGATGCATCAATGACATGGAAACATATTTAGAATAATTTCATTAAATAATAATTATTAACAAACTTCAAAAAATATTGCAGTGGAACCATATTAAAGTATTGGGGTATTTAAGTGGAACAAAAATGAAACACGAGTGATAAAACCTTTTTAAAGGAAGTTTAAGGTACCTAGGTAGAACAAACCCAAAACTTCATTACTATTTGATGACATCACTTGTTCTGATACATTGTCAAATATTTCATGATCAGGAATTGGATTCAAGAGTGTCTTTCTGATAACAGCTCAACCATACATTTTCAGTAATGGGTATCAGATATGGTTTAATGAAAAGCCTTGCCAGCAGTGTAACCTTGGTTATATTGTTCCTGAATGGGTCGAGGGTGATTCAATTCTATCTGCCATTCAAAGGGTATATGGATTGGCTTCTCCACTTCCAACCACAACTCTAGTATTGCCTTTAAAGCCAGAGAAAGTCAAACCAGTCAAGGATCAGCTTTCAAGTATCCATCCTGAAGTTCTCTTGTTTCTTTCAAAGATAAGGTGGCTTTCTGTGAGGGAAGTGAATGAGGATTCTAGGCTTAACACTGTAAGCGCAGTATCCATTTCCAAAGAGAAAAACTTTGTTACTGCAAAGAACATGGATGCTGATTCCTACACACTCCATCTAACTGCTGGTGATGGAGTTGAGAGAGAATGTGGATACTACATGTGGAAACAAAGATTTCATGTGAAACCTGAAAATAAAGTTGAAGCTAGAATGGAGGTAGATGAATGGTCAATCACCTTTGCTTTTCCAAATGGGGAAAGGCTCAAAAGAGGTTCAAGTTTGCCTGGAATCTATTCCTTTTTACCAACAGAAACAGTCACACACTTTCCTTTCATAATCCAAGCTGATTTTCTCATGGCATCTTCAAGGGAAAATATCCTCTGGGACAACAGATGGAACCAGGGAATTCTTGATTCTCTTCCTGTTGCTTTTATAAATGCGTTTACCTCGTTGGTGAAATCAACAAAAAATGCACCTTTTGTTTCCGATCTCCCAAACATGTTTCACTTCTTACCTATCAACAAGTCATCTCATCCAAAGCTGAACAATGTCAGGGACACCATCAAAGCAAAGTTGAGGAACGAGAGTCTTTCACTACACAGAAACTGTTCCAGAAACCCAATGAAGTTGGTAGGCTGAAGCCTGCCTTTTGGAGCATAATCAACAAGGCAAGGAGCCAAAAGGTGAGTTTTTGCAATGATTCATCCTGTGGAACCTATCTTCTTGCTTCTTCACTTGATAAAAAAGAGTACAATGCTGTTCTGGATTTTTTGGAGATTAAACTTGTTAAGCATCAATGGTATGCAAGATTCATTGTGAGCTCTAAGCTTGCAATGGGTGTCTCAGAGGATGTTTATATACAGCTTCTGTTATTCATCGCAGAGAATTGGGTGTCTGATTTTTACCAAACCGACATCATGAAAACACCATTGATCAAGTATGTTGGGGGAGATGGGAAGGTTGATTTAGTTACTTTGGGTACAAACAAGTTGCTAGCTTCTGATTATGATGATATTTCATGGTTGATTAATTGGAACAAAGAGTTCCAAGGTTCAACTGGTAAACATTTTTTACCTAAATCCACACAAGAAGCCATACGATCATGTGCAAAGAAATCAACACTAGTGAAGTGGCTTAAAGAGAAAGCAAATGTTAATTTTGTCAGTGTTTATGAATATGCTCTTCATCTTCTTAATAGTAGTTCAGTCACCACAGACCACAAGCTAGCTGTCACTTATGCTCATTTCCTCTACAGGTCTTTACAAAAGAAGTATTTGGAGGAGTATCAGGTTCAGAGTCTGTGTAGTGAGATGCCGATTGTTGATAACTATGGGAATGTAACTCAAACAAGAAGTGGAGTTCTTGTACCTTCCAAAGGAAGCAGATGGGTGGAGTTGATTGGTTCAAATCCTTGGAGGCAGCATAATTATGTTGAGTTGGGTGAAGATTATACACGTCGTGTCACCTATTTTGGTGATGCTACATCAGGTCAAGAGCTTGTTTCGTTTCTTCAAAAATATGTTGGAGCTTCTGATGTTCCTAATCTATTCCCTCCTAATGCTGCTATTCCTACTCTCTCTTCTACTCTCACTAAAAAAAACACATTCCTGCTTCTAGAGTGGCTTCACTATATAAGGACAAAGGGGAGTACATTACCAGAAAGGTTTTTGTCTTCAATAAAAAATAGCAGCTGGTTGAAGATCTCTTCGGGCAGTGGTTCTGGCTATCGCCCCCCATCAGAGTCATTCATGCCAGACTCATCAATCGGGAATCTTGTAAAGAAAGGTTCAAATCTTGTTGATGTCCCATTGATTGATTTGAAATATTATGGTGTTGGGATGAAGGATTATAAAGAAGAGTTACGAACAATTGGTGTTGGGTTTGAGAATGCAGAAGCCTGTGAACATATCGGTAAGCGTCTCATGTCTCTTGCAGCTAATTCTAATCTTAGAAGAGACGATTTCATTTCGATACTCAAGTTCATTAAGTATCTAGGAGCGAATTAGATCTCCCCTGCTGAGTTCATCAGAAGTATCAGAGGAGGAAAGTGGGTTAAGACATCTCGAGGTGATATGACTCCTAACAATTCTATTTTATTCAGTCAAGAATGGAATGCTGCTTCACAGATAAGTGATATTCCATTCATAGATCAAAATTACTATGGGAATGACCTAATTTCTTTCAAGGAAGAACTTCAACTACTTGGTGTGGCTGTGAAGTTCAACCAGAGGTATCAGCTTGTTGTAGACAACCTCAAGTCCTCATCTTCACTGGCTTCTTTGTCATCTGAAGCCATGTTACTCATATTAACGTGCATTAAGAGTTTGGAATTTTCAGATAAGATTGTCCAAACGATTAAAAATACGAAATGCTTGAAGACAAATTTGGGTTACAGATGCCCATTTGGATGTTTCTTGTTGAATCCAGAATCTCAGTGGGGCTGCCTTCTTCAAGTCTTTGGATCATTCCCGGTTCTTGATGTACAGATTTATGGGAGATCAATCTTTTCGATGTCAAATGAATTACAGAAAATCGGTGTCATGGTGGACTTTGAGGATTCCAGTAAAGAATTTACTCGCACTTTCAAGCAACAGGCTTTGCTATCTTTAATCAAAAAAGAACACGTCCTTCAATTTCTGCAATGCTGTAGGAAGCTAAAGACGCATGATATCAAGTTTTCTTTTGATTTCCAGAACTGCATTTCCAAAGAGAAATGGCTACGAACGAGACTTGGTGACTACAGATCTCCAAATGAGTGCATTCTTTTTGGTAAAGATTGGGAACCATTTTCTCCAATCTGCCACCTTCCCTTCATTGATGACAGTAACAACTTTTATGGTAGTGGGATCCATGAATATCGTGCAGAGCTGAAGAGGTTGGGTGTTATCACGGATTTCAAAGATGGTGCCAAGTTTGTGTCTAATGGGTTTTTCTTACCTCAAGATTGCAGTAGCCTTACTCCTGCAAATGTTTACGCCCTGCTTGATTCTGTCAAGAAACTGAAAGAAGAGAGTGGAATGGATCTTCCTGCTGAATTCCTAGAGAAAGTTTCTCAAAAGAATTGGTTAAAAACCTATTTTGGTTACAAACGTCCTGATGAGTGCTTGCTTTTCGATTCTTCCTGGGATTCCTTGTTGAAACGCAAGGATGGTCCTTTTATCGATGAAGGATTCTATGGAACTCGCATTGGATCCTACAGAAAGGAGCTTAATGTTTTAGGAGTTATCACGGATTCCAACAAGGAATGCCAGTTGCTAGCTGGTTACCTCAACTCTCACACCAATTTTGAAACAATTTCTCGAATATATAATCACTTGTCTACATTAAAGTGGGAGCCTGCTGATGAAGACAAGAAAAGGATTTGGATCCCTAGAGGAAGGTGGGTAATGCCTGAAGATTGTGTTCTCCATGACGATAACAACCTATTTGGTGAACAGCTGAACGTTTTGGAGAACTGCAAGTATGACGACGAAATTCTCGGCTTCTTTGCGAAAACTTTCAATGTGAAAGTTCGTCCCTCGGTTGAAGACTACCACAAGCTTTGGAAGACATGGGAAACTTCAGGACGCCAGATAACACATGAGGAATGCTGTGCCTTTTGGGAGTTTGTGGTCCGAAATTGGTACCCAAGAACAGAAAATACTTTCAAGAATTACTTATGGAAACTCCCTGTTTTGGATCCTACTTCCAACGGAATTTTTCTGGTTGATAAGCGTGATCTGTTTATTGGTGATGATCTTTTCTTGACTGATCTGTTTAAAAGCTCTTCTCGTCGCATTTTCGTATGGTTTCCTCAACCCAGTCAGAAAACCCTAACCCGAACCAAGCTTGTGGAGATCTACACCAGACTTGGTGTTCGTACATTGTCTGAATCTGTAAAGAAAAACACATCTGATGTCGATCATGATGCATTCAAGCCGGTTGATTCAAAAGAAAAGATAATAAAAAAAGGGTTGTTAAAACTCATTCTGGGCTTTCTTGCTGATCCTAAACTTAAAACGGAGCCAGATAAGAGACATGAAGCTGTTAGCCGTTTAATAGCAACCGAAGTTTTTGAGACATTGAAAAAGATGACCATCCGTTACAGACTTTCTTTATCATCTGGAGATGTGTTGGATGTGGAATCAAGGAGAATGGTACGTTGGGACAAACAGCACTTCAAATTATATATGCAGAAGATGGAGAGATCTTCGGGTCATAAAAATGTTATGGAATATGCGTTTCATTTTGCTGAAGAAATAGCGGAGGGAGTGTTGTGGGAGAATGAAGAGCTTGTTCCAGATCTGTGTGAACTGATCCGATTGGGTTATATGGTGGAGTTTGAAGAGGAAGAAATTGATTTCCTGATGAAGATGAAGAATCTGCAGATCTTTTTGGAGGATCAAGACTACCTTTCTTCCATATTCTCCTCTCCAAAGGTATGCTCTTCACCTGTTTTTACCTTATTCCCTCTTTTGTGTTATCTATTATTATTATAACGTGTTTCCTAATAATAACATACCGATTAGCTAATTAATATTTACTTCATATATATATAATGTGTAGGGGAATTCACAAGAAATACCAATTAGCCCCAGGGGCACGAAGAGGAGGGGACAGAATTCTATGGAGCCTTCTTCCTCTTCTTATGAGTTACAAAGTACAGGGAGTCGAAAACGAAGAGACACCGTATCCCTGACCCCAGTCACAATTGTAATCCCGGATTGATAATCCCTTTGACTTTTAAGGTATCAACTTTGTATTCCTTTTATTTGTTGTTTGTTTAGAACTCCTGGAAATTTTATAAAATAAAATAAGTAAATAAATAAATAGCTGGACAAAAGAAACTAGCACTTGAGGAAAATGATTCAAGGAACTTAAAAGAAATGAAAACAGTAACATTCTTGCATTATGCATAGAAAGGAAAGGCCCAACCAAGGGACAGAAAAAGCAATGAAGTTTAGGGGGCACAACAATAATAGCAACCAAAGTTAGTGAACACTTGGAATTTGATTTAACTTTTTTTTATCAGGTCATTGTACCTTAAACACTTTACCCTTGGTTGATAATTGACATTTCGAAATATGTGAATGCCAATATAATCTGACATTGCTATTTCTTGCTGATAGTCTTTTTGTGTACAAATTTTTACGTTTTTTGTTTTAATTAGCTGCAGGAGAAAGCATAACAAATCAGTCGGTCATGGACTTATGGTAGTGATTGATGCGTAAAGTGGCAAAAAGTTAGTTGGCGAAGCTTTTTGGTATGAATGTTTATCTAGTTAATGCCCCAATCTCCAATATGGTAATATCTTCCTTATTTTCCCAATCTAAGTTGTTTTAAGTTTTTTTTATTTAATGATATGGAACAAAGTCATGACAATTGGTTAAATTGACACAACTTTGAATTTCGCATTCGTTATCAAATTTGTGTATAACTAGGCAGTTGGTAATCGATCTAAGAAATCAATATTCTATATAAAGGTTGTTAAAGGTTCAAACTGTGTACACCCAAAATATCGATGTTGCTCCGCGATTTACCCTCCACATGATGGGTCGTGGGGCGGGTTCAGCACGGGTTGTTTAGGGTGTGGCTTACCCTTTTTTCAATATTCATCTTGATTTTAGATAAACATTCTTGAAGCATTTATCACAAGAAAATTTTACTTGCATATTTTGAATTAAATAATATAACAATCATCATGCAACAAATCATTTTCATATGTTTAAACAAAACATTTTAATCGAGTTCGGTAGATGGTTATCACAATGTTTTGACACTTTAGCATGTGTTAGAGATAAGATTGAGACATGCATTAAAAAAATAATACGCAAGCAAGGAAACAATAGGAGAATAAGAGATTCTAACATGTGTCCAAGAATTGGACACTTACTCTACATGGCACAATGTCAATCATTCCATCCAATTTTGGATGATTCCTTTTTCTTTTCCACCAACTGATCAACTCTGAAGAATGTTGATGTTGAAGGATATCCAACCATTCTCTTGGAGGTTCAAGATCAACAATCTTTTAGCACAAATTAGAATAATAAAAGCTTTCTCAAATACTACACTTGATGATGCTATTAGGAGCATAACAAGTGCTAGAACTTATGACACATTTAGATAGTGTTTTGCAGACTAGCTAAAAGCTAACTACCTTATCAAGTTATCTAAAATATCTTTCTAAAAAAATAGCTTATTAACAACATTAGTTGCCTGACCATATGTTACATTGCAATAAGCTAAAAAATAATCCGACTTATAAGAGTATCTCCAATGGTAAGCTTATATTATAGGTCAAAAATATTTTCACCTTACTATTTTATTATTATTGACCTCTAATTAAATTGTTTCTTTAATGGTTAAACTTTTTTATGACTTTTTATTATTAATTTAACTACTTTATACTTATATATCTACAATGTTATATAATACCCCCTCATTTAAATAATCGTTTTTTAAACACATCGTATGTTAATATAAAATAAAACATTCACTCACGTACGATTCATATAGTAATATATTACTATAGTGTGTGTGTGTGTATATATATATATATATATATATATATATATATATATATATTTGTTTATCTATATACTTTAGATTAATAATAAATACTTAAAGTAAATATATGAGGTAAAATGAAATTGTAACACCCTATTCTGAATTGACTTCTAGTCTAAGGATGTGGCCCGAAAATTGGTCATCATAAGGATTAGGGCTTTTGAAAAGGTAGGATCTAGGCCATTTGGGTGCGGGTGATGTATTATAAGTGATTTGGGTGTTCGGTTCGTGTTTCGGAGCCAAGGGGTATATCGGTAAAGTGGTAGTTCGAGCTCTTTATGAATTTTGGATTTTTGATCAGAAGGTTTTGAGGTGAGGATAAGTTGATGGATGCGTAGAGCTTCTCGCCACCTTTCCGTGGATATAAGGATCGTCGAAATCGGGCTTATAACGAAGAAGTTATGGCCTTCGAAAGTTTCATGGTTTTCAAGCGTACATGTAATGTCTGTAGATCCAGGCTAGTCAATTTAGAGATAATAGGGGTCGAAAACGACTTTTTGACAAAATATTATTTAGAATAAATAATCTTAACCAAGTTGTAGGATATGTCTCAAGGGTTCCGTATGTGACATCCCCATTTTCATGGCCAGAAAAGACCGATTTTGTTTATGCTTTATGAAAATCAGAGTACCTCTTTTAATAAAAATGTTGCGGAATTTGTTCCCAGTAAAACATGATAAATACGTTATCAAAGCATTTCTGAAGAAAAGTATTTTTATTCATTTTAAAAGATTTAGGATGTCATCGTAAATACAGAAACATAAGCATAAACAGAACTTACATTCATTATCACTAGTGATTTATATCTTCTTTATCTCTCAGTGTAATGTGACTTCATAACAACACCTGTGATATAAATAAACTGAGTGGGTCAGGTTGGAAAATCTGGTGAGTACATAGGGTTTTCAACCCACAATAATATAATTATTATGTTTAAACAATTAAGCAATCAACCCAATTACCCATCATCATTATCTTCTTTGTTCTTAAGGATCTACCCTAAGAATCAGTTATTCCTCGTTCATTTATTCCTAAGGATCATCCTAAGGAATCGGCACGAAGTCCATCGTTTCTGTGGTTTACACAACAGACACTAAGTCTGCATAGTCGCCAGAGTTTAGGCATCAAGTCTACATGATCACCAAGGTTTACACAACGGGCACTAAGTCTACATAGTCGCGTGGGTTTAGGCATCAAGTCTGCATGATCGCCAAGGTTTAGGCACCAAGTCTACATGGTCGCCAAGGTTTATAGTACACCGGGTGAACACATCGTTCACAACACCTACAGGTTGCGAGCCTGCTAGTGTTCCACTGGACTGTCTAGAATAGTCTGTGGTTGTCATCCATACTCTGCTGAATGACGGGGCCATCGTTTGGGAAAAGACTTCTTACATCGTCCACCTTTCACCCTCACCTCGTGGTCTATAACACCTCTCAACTCATCATCAAACTTATATTTCATCTATTACATCTACCAATGTTTTACCCCAACATTATCGTAGATATAAAATACATATACAGTTTAAATCATTTAAAACATGTATAAAATCGTTCATCCAGCATAGACAATAAGCATTCAGATAATATGCACACATAGCACGTAATTTATATCAAATACTTCATATCTATGTATAAGATGAAAGTAATTATGCACTCACCTGAGAAGGTGGTGACGACGCTTCGTTTACTTTAAAATAATTTCCTTTGACGAAACCTAGTATTATTACCACTAGATTTTAGTCTAATATTTACCGTGACTAATTATTAGTCTTATTATTATTATTATATAAGCATTTAAACAATATTTTCCAACCGCTTTTTTACAGAAAGGGGGCAGACATAAAACACCGGATGGTAGGACCTTTTTGGCGTATAGCACTTCTGAAATCCAACAACCATATGCGGCCCTTTAAACCAGATTCCCCGTACCGCAAGTAGTTAAAAATATATTATAACGACACTTAGATAAGTCATAATAATAGCTCAAATATTTATTATAAATTCATAATAACAATATTAATTTTAAATATAAGTTATATTAAAATAAGGTAAGCATTACTTACTTACAATGAGATTATAGCTAGGAGTCGGGTTCTATAAGGGCAGAACTTCGTCGTTGAATCTTTCTAAGAGAGATCCGTGCAGCGCTTCAGCGCTCACCTTACTATACTAAAAACTACATAAAGAGAAGTCGAATCACGGAGGACCGAAATGCTCGGGGGATAAGGAGAGAAAGACTCTTGAATCAAGAGAATGGTGCAAGAAATATGAGAGCCCAAGGCTCTTATTTATACTAATTGAATTTTCAAAAACTACCCTCCATAGTTACTTAATGACCTTTTAGTTATATAAACAACTAAACACCCCTTTATAATACTATTTTAAATGGATTTAATGATATTTGTACTAAACTAATGTCGAAAGAACTCAACAATAGTCTTATAATGACCGCATCGTCGATACATTTCTAATGATATATACATATTTTTATATATGTGTACGTATATATGATTTATACTTTATTTTAATAAGTAAATATGCTATTATAATTTGTAACTCGTTCATACAAACTCCATTTTTGACGTTCTTTATATCCACGCGTAGGTAGAGATGTACTCTACAACTTTCGTTTAGACTCCGTCGGCTAATTTTGACTTTATTTTTTTAAAGTTATATTGTTAACAGACCGGGACAGGATTATTCCGTTTAAATCTCATAACCTCTTCATCCGATGTCCATTTTCGTCTGTCTTTTTATCGTTATGCTACTAATAACGAGATCTTCGATTCTCGTTTAGGTTGCGTCGGCTGAAAACCGCTCAATCTAATACTCGAACTTCATGTTGTACACTACTAAACCGAAACTTCGAAAAATCATAACTTCCTCATAAGAAGTCAGATTTGGGCGTTCTTTTAATGGACGCTCTCAAGTTAACATATTCTACGACTTTCATTTAGAGTACTAAGGCTAAAAGAAGCTCTATCATAAATTCATTTTTTTTACGTCTCTTGGTATCGTGCCGGTTTTGCCGTAAAACTTCGACGAGCCATAACTTCTTCGTTATAACTTGGATTTCGGCGTTCTTTATATGTACGGAATCCTTGAGACATATTCTACAACTTGTTTAAGATTATTTATTCTAAATAATCTTTTGTC